AGGGGCCGCACGGTTGTCGCCTCAGCCGCCCCTCGCACGCCCATCCCCGGGGACAATGGGGCTCGCTCCGCGGGGCCGCTCGTCTCTCTGGGCGGGGCGGAGAGCCGGGCTGGGCGAGAGCGTGGGATGGGGCCAGCGTGACGGTGGGTGCGGGTGTGTACGCGGAGGTGCCGGGGAGCGAGCGGCTCTCCAGCCCTCCCGATCTCTGTGCAACACCTTCACCCTTGTCCCACCCCCACCACCCGCCGCTTTGGGGCATTTTTTGGGTTTTTTTATTTGTGATTTTTTTTGTTTATCTTGTTGTGGGTTTTTTTATTGGTTTTTTGTTTTTTCCGCTCCTCCACTCTCCTGCAGCGAGTTAAATATTTCTTTTGTTAATTGACGCCCGAAGTGTTCCCAATCCTTTCCCCGCGTTGCCCGGGCCGACCGAGGACGTGTGCACGCCCAGATCCGCTCGGTGAAGCAGCACAGAGCCACGGGGCCGAGCGGGTATGTGCGTGAGGAGGAGGAGGAGGTGGTGTAAAAGGAGCGACGGCACAAAGCAGATTTGAGAGGAATCATTTAACTCCTGTGTTTGTTGTTTTTCAGGGGTTTGCTTTTTCCCTTCTCTCTGTCTCCTTTCTACCTTTTTTTCTGCTCAGGATTTAAATGTCACTCAAAGCATCCCCAGATCAGCTTTCCGCTCGTCTCCGGTTTCTTCCGAGGCATTAATTGGATCACACACTGCATTTGAAGAGCTTGGGTGTTTTACCCACTAAGGTAAGTGGGCTTATGCACCTACATGGGGTCTGGATGGCCACTGAAAGCCTTTCAGGGTGGCGTTTTTCTTCCCCTTGCCCCCCCCCTCCCCCAGCTCCGTGGCCAGGTTTCGTTCTACCTGAAGAGCTCGCAGCCGTAGGTTAAACATCGCTCGATGGATGGAAGATGCGCCGGGGGGAGCGGGGGCTCGGGGCCGCCCCTCGGGCACCAGACACTGACCCGTGGGAGCCGGCGGTCGCGGCCGGCGACCCCCTCAGTTCCCAGTGCCTCTGCTCCTGGAATAGCGCCTGGCACCACAGTAAGGAAAGAAACAGTCTAATCCCCTCTTACAATAAACTATTCGTCATCATTTTTTTTTTTTCCTCCGTGAGAAATATTGTAGGCGCTCATCTCCCTCCTCCCCCACCACCCGCCTCCGCTGCCAGCGCCGGCTCCTCTGCCCGCACCTCTCCTCGCTTCAGGCGGTTCTTTCCAGGGACTAAAAAGTTAAACTGCCCCTCTCTCCCCCCACCTGCCCCCATACGTACGCAGTGCATTTTCCTTTTTAACTATTCTCCCTGTGCCTAATCCGAGTCCGTCCAGCCCCCCCAACGCTCAAACTGGGTTGCAAAGCCGCTGTACCCTGCAACTCCTAAAACTTCTCTTCTTGCTGTGACTTATACTCTATAATAACAAAAACGACAACAAAAATATACTGGATCCTCCTGTGGATTACTTTTTCTTATTTTTTTTTTTTTTTTTAAATAATGCATTTTCTTCTTCCCCTTTAATTTTTTTTTTCAAGGAAATTTGCTCCATCTCCAGCAGCAACCACTGCTCCTTTTGATGTTGTGGTACGCCGTGCGCATGCGCTTCACATTAGAATTACTGCACTGGCCAGAATAAGTTGGATCTCCTCTTCACTGAAAACCTAAATCATATCAAAAGCTAAAGGGATGCTGAGAGTCCGGAAAAAGGGTTACTTTGGGATTTGGTCATTCCCTTTAATAATAGCTGCGGTGTGTGCACAGAGGTAAGTGTTTAAGGTATCTCTTTTTCTTTACTTTGAATTGCAGTGCATGCTGCTGCTGAGAGGAATGCACAGCTGGGGGCTGAGAAATCAGAAATAATACAGTATTATTCTTTCTTTTTTCTTTAGTGTCAATGACCCTAGTAATATGTCACTGGTGAAAGAGACCGTGGATAGACTGCTGAAGGGCTATGATATTCGCTTGAGGCCAGATTTTGGAGGTAATTTGATTGCTTTTGCATAAGAGAGGTTGTATATCCGGGCTGGGTGCGTTTTGTGTGGGGGCGATTTCAAACGGTTTGTGGGTGCTGTTGCTTTGGGGGAGTGTGTGTGTTGCCATTTCCTATAGCTGATCCAAAGTTAAACCTATCGTTTCTCAATTTTCTTAGCACAGGAATGCGATCACTTAAATTACTTGTATATCAGTAATCGGTCCCTCATTATGTGTGTGTGGGTGTGATGATACTTTACTAACCTGGAATTAAACCCTTATTTAACTGGTTTTATCGAGATGCAAATCTCTTTTAAGTTCACCCAACGCTTGTTCCTTCCAGCCTAATGTGCCTGTGATCACAGTTACTATTTTCGAGTACAAGATGTGCTGTTAACTGATACAAAAATGTCATTTAACCCCCTCCGTGCTCCTACTTCGAACTAGTTTGTTTATTTCGGACGTGTTCGCTGTGGGTGGCCCTTTCCCCCCGCGCTTGTCCCATCCCTTTCCTGCGGTTGTGTGGCCGCCGTGGCCGGGGGTGGCGGGCGCGGGGCCCGCGGCGGGGCGCGGAGCGGGGCTGGCCGGG